CAGTCTCGGAGGTACAGAACAAGACAGAGGTAGTTGGGCTTCTCCTGATATACCTGACCTGTGGTTTGGGCAGACGGGAAAGAGTTAGGAAGGGTTAAGTCCTAAGGAGCAACAGTCTAGGGTTTTGTGGTTTGTGGAGAAGCCTAGAGTCAGGAAAGGAGCCAAGAGCAGTCTTTGGTTTGAGGTCTCCAGTGCACATATTATGGTGAGAAAGTCTTGGGAAGCATCAGAGATTAGGAGCCAGGGATAAGAGCAGAACTTCTCCCAGGGGCTATCAATTGCAGGAAGATGCCTACAGCAACAGGGAGCCCCTATCCTGCCCAGTTCTACCCTGCTTGGCCAGGCTTCCGGAGTCAGGGTCCATCCTGGTCCTCTGACTGCACCTCCTCTCTTCCTTCATCCTGCAGCAAGGTGCTGGGCAGGTGACTACACCCCCCCTCTCCCCTTATCCTGCAGCAAGGTGCTGGGCAGGTGGCAATGCCACATTCCCTAGGAGACCAAGGCCCAGGCCCTAACTACCTCCTTCATCACCCCCGTGTCACCCCCTGAGGGTCCAGCAAGATCTGTTTACAAAGACCCTGACAGCTCCATTCAGGCTACTAAAAATTTTACCAAGACAGAAATAGTACACTCAAACTTTAGATGTGGAAGTCTGATAGAAATGGCATGATTTCTACATTGGCATCATTTGGACAGTAAAGGATGTCTGCTGAAAGATCAAGCCCCCTCTGCGTTGCAGGAGGCAGAGAGATAAGCATCACATAAATACAGACTTGGCACGTGGAGCTTTCATGTCTGTTCTTCTGACACCAGACAGTCTGTTACCATGGAAATTATTCCATCACTTCACAAATACAGCCTTCCCCCTTCCAGAAGTGCAGAACAGCCAAGCACGTCTGCATTTGGGAATCAAACTTGAAGGGTTGTCGTGCTGCCCCATGGAGAGCATACCTCTTGCATCTCTGACTTTGTCTTCTGACCTCACGATGAAAGATTCAGTCACATGAAGGTGACTTTTTTTAAAGAGTAGTTTCCCCTTTCCCGACATAGCCTCTCTAGCAGTCTTACCCCTCTCAGCTAGCTAAAGGATACAAGGTGCCTCTTTGGCTTTCAAGAATCCAGCCCAAGCTAAGGGCCTGTCCAGCCTGCTTCTGCGTCTGGGGGGAAGGTGCTCTTGAGTTGTTTCATGCGATGGGCTGCTAAGAAGACAGTTGGTTGTCGCCTAAAACTATTCCTTTGATAACACATCTAGGATGTCTGCTAGTTCCCAGGCAATGCTCAAGGTGTCAGAGAACACACAAAGATGGCTCACGCCAGCATTCCTTTTGATGTGTTTACACACCAGTGATAGTAATAAACGCTGTAACCAATGCTTCCAGTTATCAAAGTACTATCTATGTGTGTTTTCATTAGGTCTCATAAGTTCCCTGAGGAAGATAATACTGTGATTAGTAGCACTTACCCAGGGAGCCGGGGGAAAAGTCAAACAGATGTTTTTTGGCTCCAAATCCCTTGCTTGCAGCACACCCCACCTCCTCAGAGAACCATGGTGCCTGGCGGAATAGGATCAGTGCCCTCGAGAGAAGTACAGTCTCATGGCTTTGAGGTGTAAATGAGGAGATAAAACTCGCATGTTTGAGGAGAAATCAGAATGACTTCATCGGGGAGGTCGTATCTGATGAACTGAAGGTTTCAAAGTGGAAATCAGGAATGAGCCTCCTATTCAGACAGAACACTTATAAATTTCCCCAAAGCTGGCTTCTCCAATATCGAGCAAGGAAGAAGTTTGTTTTAAATTCTTTCTGCATTCTTTATATCCATGGTTTATATTTCCATTGTGAGGGTTAAATGAATTAATCCAATAAAGCACTTAGTACTGAACCCAGTGTGAAATGTGTTCAACATGTTACCTATAGGATGGATCTTTGATTCTGACTAATGAAGATATGGATGATCACTGAATTTTTTGCCATACTTGTCAACATTTATTTCTTAAGAGGAAAAAATAAGCTTAAGAAATGAACGTGTGGCCTTATATCTGTTTTTGACCTAGGTCTTAATAAATATTAGTGTAAGTGCTTATTGGTTGGAGAATGGACTTTATGAGGTCAATTCAAATCAGTGAGCTGATTCCCATAAACTTGTATAGGCTATGTAGGTAACAGTCTTCTGCCACCCCCAACCACAAACTCAGGTGCAAGGGCAAATGCTTTTTGGCTGTCACAGAGCTCATGCGTGTTATTCCCTTTAATTCATGCCAACAAAAGATACTGAGTACCTCAGTGCCTGTATTATTATATTATACAGAAAAACTCATACACATGGCATTCTTGGGACCTGACCTAGCTCCAAGATGAAAACTCTCTTCTAGTTCACCAAGGACAAGGGGAGGGCTTTGTGCTTCATAAATAAGATGCAAGTGTCACATCGATTTGCTTTGAGCGATCACTTCCCTTTTGCAACACAATAAGAATAGAAAACCGATGATGGTTAAAACACAAAACACACACACACACACACACAATGAATGTTAACCAAGTATGCACCAATACAATCACAGCTTCAGGATAAAGGGCCGTGAGCAACATAGACATCAATCCTCCGGGGGCGGGGGGGTACTTGTGTCCCAGTGCCAGGACACCTCTGTCCCCAAAGGCTATGGAGAGGACATTCTGCAGAGAGGTTGCTCTTCAGAAGTTGTTGGATTTTCTACTTCTGGAGTTCTCCAGTGGTTTGCTAGTAGGATTTAGTAGGTTAATCCCCTCGGGGCATAAAACAAGATCCTCACCATCTGGTTTCCTCTAGGATATAGCAGAACCTAAGCATCATCACAGCAGGACCTCTGACAACATCACCTATTAACAACTAACGATGAAGGAGAAGGAACATCAGAAAACTAGATTTTATTCTGTGGTCTGTGTGACAAGAAGGCACTCCCATCTCAGGATCCCTTCAGGGAATCACTGTAATAGGAGATTTGGCCTTCAGAGTGGAGGCACTGACTCTCTGCAAACCACCTACCTCATATTCAGACAGAGTATATAGTATGATGGTTAAGCCCTCAGGCTCTCAGACCATGACTGCCTGGGCTCAAATGCTGAGTCTGTAATTTAATCACTGTGATTTTTGAGCAAGTCACTTACCCTCTCTGTGCTTCACTTCCTTCATCTACAGAAAAAACATATCACAAGGATTAAATGAGCCAATCAAATAAAGCATTTGTTTAAGTGAAAGTACTAAAAACATCACCTATCATTATCTCAGTTCTGTTTAGGAAGTCAGGGGATCAAGTAATGTATTCTAAGGCATTTCCATCAGGAAAAAAAAAAGATGCATTTAAATATTTGTGTTTTGGTTTTGTGTTATGTAAAGGAATAAGCACTGCTTATGTAGGAAATTAGTTAACTAAACAAATAATAATTAGTGCATGCCTAATACATACCAGGCAGTGCTCTGAACCTGGGCATATAGCTGGGGAAACAACAAAACTGAAAAACAAACAAACAAAAAGATAAACATCTTTGCTCTCATGTAGTTTACAGAGTTGGGGGGAAACATGCAATAAGCAAGATAAATAAGGAACATGGGTGGCCTATTGGAGAGTATTAAGACCTACAGAGAAGAGACGATGCAAGATATCTCCTGCATGTTCTCATCTAATCAGTCAGCTCTACTGAATACCCATAGGGAGTCAGGCCAGGCCTGCTAACTTAAACAGAAATATATGTCCTGCTTAGGTGCAATAAGCAAGACAAAATGGGAAATGCCTACAGCTCCTATTTGTAAAATAAGCCCAACATTGTTTGAATCACTTGAGATTGCACCCAGAAAGGTGAAACCATGGCCAGCCATCGTTGGTAGATACAGTTGCTACTTTTAGACCACTGTGTTGTTTGGGACCTGCCTCTTATTTTTTTCCTGAAGCCGGACAAAACACCCCCTATTCCTGAGGCCAGCACAGGCATTTCATCTGCTCTGAATCAGCCTGCAGTGGTCCAATCTCCTTGTATTTGCCTCTTGAAATCCCTATCGTCTAGTCTTGGCTGACCCAGTGCATGCTCTAAACTGCTCAGCTATCCATCAGTTCTACCCCAGAGTGCAGGATAGAGGCTGGGAATTGTGGGTGGAGTGTGATGTTGGCAGCCATGAACTCTAATAAAAAAATTTTTTTAAATAGTGATGAAAATAGGTAGGAGACAATAAAGATTAGCTTCTGAAATCTGAGGTCAGTCGTTTGTACAGAAAATATTAATCGAGCACCTTGTGTGCACCTGGCATTTTGCAAGGGCACTGGTTATGTGGTGTTAAACGAATGGAAGGGCTTCCTATGTTCCCAGAGCTTTCAACGGAGGCAAGATTGCACACGCACTGTCACCATATTCAACACCCGAATAGGTTTAACACTTCAGAAAGCCCTCCCTTGAGCCTCAAATGGCCCCATGGAAATAAATATTATCATCTCCATCTTAAACGAAGAAACCGACATCCAAAGACGAAATAAGGAAAGTCAGAAGGGAAAGAGACCATCTGAGACAACATTATAATGGGAAATTGACAGCTCAAGTTATTTTTATAATCAAAGGATTGACCTCCCAGCTCCTCTAGGTCTGAGGAAATACGGTACTTGGAAAAAAAAAAAAAAAAACAGGCAAAAGAAGCAATTTAACCCATACATAACTTAGCATGGAAACAGTAAGTTCCCCAGGCAGGTAGATGTAGGTGTGGGGGGTGAGAAAAGCAGAGCATCCACACCCACCTCCTCAAGGCAAAACCTCCCTGGGGCATCCCCAGCTATGGGGTGGGAACAGTGAAGGACCCTAGTTCCCAATCACAGGCTTTGGTATGGCTCCTCAGGGAACAAGACCCAGTAGAGGTCTGAGTTTCATTCCCTGCTGATGAGAAACAAGGGAAGGAAGGAGGAAGTGAAGGGGAAAGCATCAAGTCTTCCATCCTGTACCAAGCCCCGGGAGAGCACTCTCACCTTCCTTCTGATGGCGGGCATGGGTAACACCATCAGCAGGACAGGTATTCGTATACAAAGAGATGAGAACATGGAGGCTCAGAGAGATGGCACGATTTTCTTGTTTACTGGGCTGGGGAGATGGCCCACGGCAGTGTACGTGGATTTATTGAGTTTCTGTTACTTACCAGCATGGGGCTCTGCAGGGAGGGTATTCTACCACTACCCTCAAGGATGTTTCCAGCTATCTCCTGCAGGAGAGGAAGACCTTGACTCAGGGAGCTCTTGGAGCCTGACCACAGATGGAGTCCAGAGAAAGTGGAAGCCGTCTGGATCACCTGCAAGGTGCCAAGAGGCTTCTCTAAAGGGCCTCACCTTCGCAGAAGCTCAGAAACCACCCACGCAGAAGAGCAGACAAGTTTTTAATGGAGCCAAATGCCGTCAAAGGACCAAACTGCCCCTTCCAGTAGCAGCCGTCAGTTTTTTCTGTGTAACACCAGCAGAAAGCATGGATCTCCAGGAGAGAGCACATATAGGAAGGGGGGAGGTGGGATCAGGGGGTGGCCTTTGGATTTGTCTATAGCTCCAATTTCCTTTCATGAATATTTCATTTAAATCCTGTATTAATCATTAAGTGGTAATGACTGTCTCTCTCTCCCTTGCACTGACTCTGTCTCTGTCACTCAAGCATCCTTTTCTGTCTCCCTTCCTCCTCCTCTCTCTTTCTTCTGTCTTCCCTGTCTGTTCTTCATCAACACACCTTCGATTTTTTGTTTCTCTAGTTCCTTCCTTTCTTTATCCTTCAGGCTTCTCTGCTCAGTTTCCTTCTCCCTCTCTCTCTCTCTCTCTCTCTCTATCTCACACACACACACACACACACACACAATCTTTCTCTCCTGCTCCATTACCTCATCTCACCTTTGGAATCAGGAAAGTATCTAAATCCACTGACTTCTCAGCCACGTGCCACAAAGGACAGAGCTCATTCTAAAAGATGCAGGAGATTTGGAAGATGCCCAGGCCAGGAAGCCAAAAGCTGGAAAATGCACTCTAGAAGGTTTATATGTACAGCAGTGTTGAGGGCCTGAAGGTTCCACCATGTTCCAATCATTAATAATCCAATGGGCAGCCCACATGGGAACCCAGCACAGGCACACGATTCGCGTGACATGAGGTGACTAGGCATTCTGGCACAGCAACTCCGCCAGGGGTGGAAGGGCCCCCCTGCCCTCTGTTTTCTTGGTTAGGCAAGAGTATGCATTTCCCATGGCAAATCATGCCAATGTATTTGAAGGAATTGATGAAAATCAGAAGATGTGGGAGCAGGAAAAGGAGGCAGAGAAAGTCAAGGTTTTCTGGGGCTCCTGGGTGGCTCAGTCAGTTAAGTGTCCGACTTGTGATTTTGGCTCAGGTCATGATCTCAGGACCATGGGATCGAGCCAGGAGTCGGGCTCTGTGCTCAATGGGGAGTCTGCTTGAAGATTCTTCTCCCTCTGCCTTTCCCCCCATTTGCACACACGCTCTCTCTAAAATAAATAATCTTTTTTTTAAAAAAAGGAAAGTTAAGGTTTTATGACTTTCCTTGAAAAAAGAAAGTAAAAAGGGAAGATCACTAATGCCTTTGCATACAAAATCTATCTGATATGTCTCCAGCCTTACCTTCTGTTACATTTCCCCACCCCTGACCCAGATGTCCTCCTTGCTCAAGCCACGCCTTTGCGTTCAAATAATATTAAATGACTGGAATTTTCTTTCTCTTTTATTTCACAAAATTAACTTTTATGTGATGAAGATTTCCCAAAAATATTAACAGGCACTATTCATTCTATGTGGTAAGGTTACAAATTATTTTATTTTTTATGCTTCCTTCCCCATATTTTTCACAATAAGCAAGTATTACTATTGTGATAAGATAAAAATTTAAAAATCATCAAAAACCCAATAAATCCATCGTGTCTAGCACAGCTCCTCTGCCAGAATCTCTGGTGACTCCCCATCACATTACCTTCTGCCTGCTCAGAATTATCAGCCCCCTTTTGTCTTTGCAGCCCTCATTTTAGCCTTTTCACTGGACACTTTTATGCCCATCCTCTCATCTAACCTTTTTAACAACCCTATAAGTTGATGTGATTGCTCCCATTTTACAGATAAGGAAAAGGAGTCTGAGAGAGGTAAGTGGTTTTCTTGTGTCCACATATTTAGTGCAAGACTCAAGTCTCAAATGTGTCTCTTTTGGATTCCTCTGGCTGTTGCCCGGTTGATGGGTGGTCACTAGACTTTTCTCAGTGGTTCCACAGAGCCTCAAGGGTGGATTACGTATTTTCAGGTGTCAGGCACTAGCTAGCTCTGAATATGCCGAAAACATCCATGATACAGAATGTGCTCTCTTCTAGTGAAACCACCCCAAGAGAATTCTCTCCAAACTCATTCCCCGGGTATGTAGCTGTCTATCCCCTTCATCCCAGGATGAGTCCCAGACCAGAACTTCTGAAGATTCTGATGAAATAATAACTCGTTTTCATTCCTACTGCACCCCCCAAAAATGTTTGCAATGCTTTGATCTTCTAAAGGAACTGGGATATTGGCAGGACAGGGCTGTGTCAAGACTTCCGTTAGTGTGGAGCGAAGCATGCAGTACAGGATCTTAAAGGGACGGGACTATCTTTACTTTGAGCCCAACAGCCTGAAGATGGAAGAAATGCCCCCACAGGTTGGACAAAGATTTATCTAGTCAGTCCTGCACTTAGTCCTCATCCAGACATCCCTGCCACCAAAGATAAACTCCTAAGTCTCAATGAAACTTATTCAGAAAGAAATCTGCCTGAATATTTTAGCCTGGCTTCCACTGGTAAGCTCCCCAGCTCAAAGTGTCATTTGAAGCTGGTAAAGAAACTGGGGCGGGGGGGCACTGACTCATCTTATTTTCATCTAACTTCTCTTTGCCTTGGACGTTAACAAAAAGGCAGTGAGAAGGGGAAAAGGCTACCTTTTTTAAAAGATTTATTTATTTTAGAAAGAGAGAGAAAGTATAAGCAGGGGGAGGGGAAGAGGGAGAGAAAGAAAATCCTCAGACTCCCCACTGAGCACGGAGCCTGACAGAGGGCTCCATCTTAACCCTGAGCCAAAATCAAGAATTGGACACCTAACCGACTGAGCCACCCAGGTGCCCCAGAAGAGGCTACATTTTTTGTTATGACAATGGATTATAATATGAAATTAAACTGATGCTTGCAGATTGCGATTAGCTAGAAGTAATTATGCATTCTGTAAGTGACTAAGACAAGGTTTCAGTTCGGTGGCAGGTGGTCACAGAACGGGGTTTGAGAAGCAAATTTCAACAGAAAAGACCCAGAGAGGGGAGAGTAATAATAATAGCTAACATTATCTCAATGAAAACTTAAATAACCCCATTCTCCTCATTTTACAGATGGAGAAATAGAGGCACAGAGAGTTGACTTACCCAAGGTCATCCAACAAATAATCATTGAAGCTGAGATTAGAACCCAGGCAGTGTGACTTGAGGGCAAAGTTTCTTTCTACTTCTGCCCAAGATATGATCAGGAGTCACTCTATTTAGACCATTCTGTGTCCTTGTGTGTATGAACCAGAGAGAGAGAGATTGTAGAGTGGTTAAAGAAAATGTTAATGTCTATAGACCAGGGCTCTCCTGTGGAATCTTAATATGAGCCACATATGTATTTTCAACTTTCTAGCAGCCACGTTTTTGGAAAAGATTTATTTATTTTAGGGGCGGGGGCGGAGAGAGGCTGAGGGAGAGAAAGAGCCTCAAGCAGACTCCAAGCTGAGAACAGAGCCCTATGTGGGGCTCGATCCCACCACCCTGGGATCAGGACCTGAGCTGAAACCAAGAGTCCAGCACTAAATCGACAGTACTACCCAGGCACCCCAGCAGCCACATTTTTAAACAGTAAAAAGAAACAGGTGAAACTAGTTTTAATGATATATTTTACTGAACCCAACATATCCAAAGTATTATCATTTCAGTGTTGCATCAACATAACAAATTATTCCTGAGATTTTTTTTTTTATTCTTTTGCTCGAACTCGGTCTCATAGCCCATTGCGCATGCTCAATAGCCACATGCTGGACAGCATGACTCTGGACCAACAGTTCTACATCATGGGGAGCTTTAGAAAATACTGATACCTGTGCCCCTCCAAAGTCCCATTAGGTCAAAATTTCTGGGGTTAGGGCCAGGCTTTGGTATTTTCTGTTAAATACCAGGATGCTTCTAGGACATAGTCCGACTATAAACTCCCGGGTGGGAGATTCCTTTTCCTCATTCCCTGTGTGTCCCAATTCCCTTCTACAGAGCCTGGAACTTTGTAAGCATTGAAAATATGCTTCACGAACAAGTGAGTGGGATTTGGACTTGCATTTCAGTATCCTGAATTCTAGTTCTGACTCTGCCATGAACTAGCTGTGTGATAATGACCTTACACCAACACTTCTCCCGAGCCTGATCTTCCTCATCGGCAGCAACCAAGTCTCTGGACTCAGGGCTTGCTCTCTGCTTCTGCATCGGAGATGAATAACCCCAAGAACCTGTGTGATACACCTATCGTACAGGAGCACTGTCCAACAGGGCATGCCCCTTTCACTAGGTCTTCACCCCCAACTACAGCCCACAGTCTGGGATCCCCAATTACAGGGCATCCTGCTGCTTTACACTTGCTCGACATATGTAATCACCATGTCGGTGGTATCTCCACAGCCACAGAAAATTTAAATTGCATCTTTCAGGTCTTAATATGATGTTTCTGGGCCATTTCGCATGCTGCTCCTAAGAGGAAGGCATTTGCTTGACGTGCTCAGCAACTACACTAATAACAGGGGGATGGTGGCGTGTCCCTGTTTATAGCACAGGGATAGCTGCATGTCTGTGAACAGCAGGTCTAGCTTTGGAGTGGGCAGGTGGGGGCAAGGAAGGCGCAGGAGGGAAGGGAAAGATGCCTTTTCCATGTAAGCATCATTTGCATCTGTGATTTGGCAAAGACATGAGAAAAAGCCCCGTGAACCTTAGATCGAGTCCCGGCACCCTGAAATGGAGAGCTGGTTTGTTAATATATTTAACCACCAGAAGGAAGGAAGGAGGGAAAGGGACATTGTCACAGCCTTCAGGATAAACTCAAGCTCCAAGCAGGGCATCAGGATTTCTGTGATCTACAGTCCCTCCGTGCCAGCACCAGTACCAGCACGACCCCTCTCTTCCCGGCTCCCACACTTCCCAGCGCTTGCCCTATGCCCCAGGCATGCTGGACTAACAGCGCTTGGCTGAATGGGTTATAATCTCTCAGGACCCCTTGTACTTGTACAAACATCTTTTTCCAGGCTAAATTCTACCCATTCTTTAACACTCATTTGGATGCCACCTCCTCCAAGAAGCATTCTTGGACTACCCCTACCCCCAGCAAGCCCAGGTTGGATCAGAGATCTCTCCTTTGTGTTTTTTCCAACCTGCAGGCTCATTCTCATCATAGCACCTGACAGTCCCAACTAGCGCCCTCCCAGTAAGTGGTCATCTCCTGAGGGAGAGAACTGCATCTTTATCTCTCCATCCCTAGCACACTGGGTAAATATGACAGGCTCTTAATTTGAAGAATGAGAGAGGGAGGGAGAGAAGGAGGGAGAGAGAGGGAAGAGGCGGGGGGAGGGAGAGGGAGGGAGCACGGAGAAGAGAGGGGAGGAACATTAACTGAATGAAGAGAGGGAAGAGACAACTGGGTGAAGTTCAGGAGTGTGACGAACTGAATTGTGTCTCCCAAATTTTATATTTTGGAGCCCTAACTCCCAAGGCGACTGTACTGAGACAGGGCCTTTGTGGAGGAAATTAAAATTAAATGAGGTCATAGGGTGGAGCCCTACTCCGATATAATGGGGTCCCTATAAGCAGCGACAGCAGTGGTACACACACACAGAGCAAAGACCACGTGAGGACCCGTATCCTCACATGGAGAATATGGCCATCTACAAGCCATGGAGAGAGCGCTTAGGAGACACAAACTCTGCCAACAGCTTCCAGAACTGTGAGAAGGTGAATTTCTGTTGTTTAAGCCACTGATTCTGTGGTATTTGGTTATGGCAGTCTTGGCAGACTGATACAGTAAGTGGTAGAAATGTTCAGCCCAGTTGCACCCAGACAAGGGAAGAAGAAAGAGGGGTGTGTGGCTGCTGTGGTAGTTTGCTTCTCAGATGTCTCTCCACAGAGAACCTGCTGGAAGGAGCTCAGAGAGCCTCCAGTGCCACATCGTGAGGATCTGGCAGACTCTCGCGCCGAGCGTCCAGGGCCTTGTTCTCAGGGCTGCTCCCAGCTGATGACTGAGCACAGCAGGGAGACTAGGACCAGGCCATTTCACCTCTCAGTGCAGGAGGCCTTGAGGGGACAGTCGGCTCTGGCTCCCTCGTCTGTTGGCTGAGACTTCATCAGAGCTGCAGTGGGGTCTCAAGCTCTTCCTGCCTCCTCCTACTTCCCCCCTACTTCCCAAGGGCCAGGCCCATACCGCAGGAGGAGCCTCTTTCCCCCTCCCTGACTCACTCTCCTTTTGGTCCTGCACCAGCATTTCCCCCAACAAGGCTCTTGCCCATTTATTTCTGTCTCGCAGCTGCTTTCCAGAAAACCGAAACTGACAGAGGTGGGCAGAGGGATGCTCTTTGCTTCATAATCATCACCTGTTTCTATTACCCTAGCAACCTGGAGAGGAGGCAGTTTTCTTCCCACTGTACAGAGAAAGAAACTAAGCATGATGGAGATGAACAGTCATGAGGCTGGTCATGGAGAGGCTACATTCTGCTTGTGCCATGCTGTCTTCCAGTTCATACACATTTGCCACCACCCTTCACCCCACCCCACCCCCAAACACCACTTCTGCAGAGCCAGTGAGCAGCAATTTCTAATGCTGGACAGCTCTTGTCACCTTTCTAAGGGGATGTCTCCAGGTGGCTTCCATAGTATTGGGCTTCACCCCCCCGCAAGTACACAGCCAGTCACTCTCTGAAGCCTGGGGACTCATCCCTTGAGATGAGGCTTGAAAGATAAAGAAATGTTCAAAGGACAGACCAGGGGCAGCAGGACCTTCGTGGCCAGAGAGGCCAAGGTCTGTGGTCAGAGGGAGACTAGCGTGTGGTCTCATGATGAGGAGAATGGAGGGATAATAAGACTAAATGTGGAGCCCAGAGCCACAACATGGAGAAACCCATCTTCTTACTTGCGAGCCCCTAAGCTCCCAGCAGTACCTAGCACTTGGCAGGCACTTAATAAATATGCACTACAGTGATTGGCCAAGAAACATAACCACTGAGCTTATTAGGACCAGTTTGACTCCTGGGTTAATGTATTCAGAATAGAAATTAGCAGTAGATTTATCATCTTTGACTTTCCTCCTTTTTTATTTCATTCCATCATCGAAGTTTGGGGTGATTTCAAGGCAGAGATAAATCAGGGACAGGCAGAACTTGTTAAAAGAAAGTAGACTTTGATACCACCCTGTTGATGCTTCATTCCATCTGTTCTGGGGGTACGAGGTACAGCAGTTCCCAAAGAGTTAACTCCTGGCAGATTCCAAATCTGCAACCTTCAGAGGCCATCAGATCCCTCCATCTCCACCTCTAAATCAATCACACAAGATTTTCTGAAACCATCAGTCTAAGTTGTCCTTTGATCATTATCTTGTCCCCTGTTATAAACCTGTT